AAGTTCTGATGTTAATACATAAAATACGATTTGAAAGCCTCTTTTTCTTTTTTAAGTTAGATGGAAATTGTAATACTCGTAAATATTTATTTGTATAGGTATAGATATCCATCATTCTAGCAAGCAGTTTTCAACAACAGATAGAGAGATCTCAGTGGAAGGTTTATATATATATATATATATATAATACCTGTATGTTGTGTACTATTATAGTATAATGTGTAATATTATCTTATCTGTGATAATAATAACCCTGCACAATCACACAACGTCATCAGGTCTCAAGCTGAGCCTAGTTTGTGTTATAGGTACTAGACAACCAGATAAAGTAAAGATAAAATCCCAGATAGGTAGTTAGAAGTATTCTCAAATGTCGACGTTGTGGGTGAATACTAAACTTCACATGTTCTCATTTCGCTTGATATTTCCAGCCAGTTTGGTCAGCTAGTAGAGACTAGTAGCAATATAAATAATATAATCCCAGGAGTCACTCAAGGCAGTTGATTGGCACGTTGATGACATTACTAACTGTGCTACCTTAATTCTATCCAACTGAAGAGCCAGTTTTTATACATTAATTATTTCATTTTACATAATAATTAAAATTTATGTGATCATCTACATCTTATCCAGTTATGCAAAATTTTGAAGCAACTGACATATTATTTAACATAGATATATTTTTTTTTAGGTAGATAAGTATACGCGATAAAATTGTGACGTTTCTTTTGATATTAATTTCAGTCCTTATAATACGATACGACTATACGCTCTAAAAAGTTATTAAGTAAGCCATACCTAGGCAAAATGCAGCGATTCGTTTGAGTTATTTTTGTATGTATAAAATAATAACTATGAGGCCTTGGCCGATACGAGAGGTAGTAACTAATGAGCGAATGCTCTCAATTCCGCCATTCACAACACAAAAATCAATTACTTACGTCTACTCTGAATGTTAAGTTTAATATCATATAGTCGCATAAGTAGGCATTTTGATCTTGCAGCCCGATCTCACGGCTCCGAGGCCAGAATTGAATTGGCATTGTCACTGTGGATTGTTTTACGTCACCCTTAAGCTGAGAATATCCATATCCGGGCGGACTATACCTAATAGCACAGATTATATATAGTCAAATGAAATATATGTACTGTATTATCTTTCTTGGTTGATTGGCTCAAAAATGATTTCCGCCTTGACAGAAGCATACCTTATAGGCAAAATAGAAAACAAGATACTCTTATAGCAGTAGGCTATCATCAGTACGTACCAATATTATAAATATGAGAGTTTATAAGATAAATTTTATCACGAGAATTAATGGCTATTTCATTCAGAATACACTGTGATGACAGGAGTGGTGGTGAGAGTAAACACACACAGTAGGGTGTAACTTGTATATTTAACTGTTACATCACACTAATTACATAAACTATATATATGAGGTACTGCGTGACCTACGTGTCGTTATACAAAACGTACACTCGCACAATCTTTTACTGAACGTGCTGATTTGCATCACTATACCACAACACATATAAATTAAATATTGCAGACGAAGTGGTGGGTAGAAGCTAGTATCAATATATGAGTAGGTAGGTATGTGACCAAAGCTCGTGTGGTATTTTAGAAATACCTTCAGTGTACCTTAATGAATTCAATACTTAATCACGCATTGCATCCATAATGTATTATCTAACGACATTTTAAATTCCTAACTAGAACGTTACTAGTTTTAAAGGAAGTGCCTTAATATTTGCATTAAAATTGACATGCTAAGCTTAGGTATCTATATCCAGACTCCCCAGTTGATATATTTTGCAACGACCTGTACTTCTTATACTCCAAGGGATAATACATAATGCGATATAGGTACAGGTGATATCTGACATTTTAATATTTCAAGTTTATTGAAGTGAAAGTCAATAATAAATGCATACTTTACCTTCTTACTTAGGAACGTAGGTACCTATTAGCTTTGACATTGACATTGATACTAATTTGTAATAATACTTATGTAACATCTACATTATTTAATATGGAATCATTGTGATAAATGCTTACATAAAACCCAAGATGCGGATCTTGCCAGTCACTTCTCCAAGGTTTGCCGTATTCGACACACGATCCTGCCTTTCTAAAGTTCTCCTACCTCGAACGATATACATTAAAATGTGTGTTAGAATGCTATTTCGAAGTGACAACACAAAAAAAATCGATATTTGGTACCTGGAAAACCTACTACATTTATGTGCACTAGGTAGAGGTATTACAGTATCTTCGAAACAATTTTAATAAACATAACAAACATATTCGAACAAATTTAGTAAACATTAACTGTATATTTTTTTCAGGTATCACTAGCATAACTAGCTCAAAATAGGAATTTATAATTTAGAAAAGATTTCGTTCCTATTCAACTAAATCAATCAATTATGAAAAAATAATATGAATGAACACTGGTTTTCTATTAAAAAGAAAGTTTTAAATTAGTTAGTGCAATCTTATATTATAATTTACACAAAAATAAAAAAAATCATTGAATTGAGAACCTCTCTTTTGAAAGTTGGTATAATTTTTTAAGTAGATATTACTATAGTTCCCTACCTATAACTTTATTTTATGACTATTTGGTACGTAAAGCTTATCGTTCAAATCGCTTGGTCACGAGTCTGACTCAAGATTTAATTAGTAGAGTCCTTCTATAAAACAATAGTTCTACGGACTCACGTTAACAGTGCCTTTGATGAACGTCACGACTAATATCAAGGTTTTAAAGGTAAAATATTAAACAGTAGTTCATAATATATATTTACACTAGTTGTTTTACCCTCGTAAAATTTCAATAAAAAATAGCCTAGTAGTATTTGCGTAAAAGAGTAACAAACATCCATACTTACAAACTTTCGCATTTATAAAATTAAAATAATAATAATAAGATATATATATATAATAACTTGTGAAAATGAGATTTGCTGAAATTGTGTTTCTTCATGCAGGTTCTGATAAACTCCTAACATCTAATCTTCGTTTGCGATTATCATTAGATTTAGGTAGTTCTAAATGATTTATAGGCGTCTTGTAAATTTAGTAGTTAATTTTTGGTAAGTACATGGCTAAAATAATTTAAGACTATTTCTATATAATGTCAGGCCATTTCTAAATCTTTTTATTCCGAAACAAGGAATTTATTTGTACACTAGATATATAATAAAAATTATAGCTTCCTGTGGTACAATCGATAGACGCTTTTTGTAAAATAACGTCGTATTTATTCATCATCAAGCTATTGATTGACATTGTCGAAAAACACGTATCCATGTCGCTATTTTCAAATCGTATTGCTTAATTATTCTATTTCTGTTATATTAACAGTACCTGCCTCCATATCTGCTATTGATATCAATCTAATATATTTGTACATATTTGGCTAGGTACTTACGTATACAAAACACGAATTATTATGAAAGTTAACTAGGGCAAATTACAATTCGGCATCCAGTAATTAAGCACGTGGGTATCTACATATTTAAAAAATGATTAATATATCAATAGTCAAGTACTATTGGGTCATTATTACAATTATATAATTTATTGATATGAAAGTGAGAAGCTGCAATGGTTCAAAATGTTTTTGCAATCGCAAGATAATCTTTTGAATGATTATCTATAATTAAGCATTTCTCTTACCTCTAGCAACCTTCATACAAAATAAAAATTAATGATGATTCGTTTTTTTTGTAATAGGTACCTTTTGTAGTACCTACCTATTATTAAGTACTTATTAATCTTTTTAAATATTTATTAAATAGATAAAGATTCCTTTTTGTAATGTTCTAGTAGATAGGTTTACTTATCAATTACAAACAAGTTATTTGGCTACATTCATGGATAACTGCAATGTTGATTACTTCTTTTGGTGCCGGTGGAAGTGTTACTGCTTTTCATCCCCAGAATGAACGAAGTGGCGACCACAGGAATAAAGCATAATATATACATAAAACGAGGAATACCGTTCTATATAGTTAATTGGAAAGCATCTGAAGAAAAGTAGTTTAATTGCCCACCGTTATTCTACAATTATATTAATGTAGTTGGTAGTATAAATTTATATAGTGCAATCTTTATTTTAATCAGTTGATTAGTTTAAGTTTCCTTGAAGTCTTGCTTAGTCAGAAAGGCCTATATGGAATGATTAAAAATTCAAAGTTCGTTTTCATAACATGTTAATACCAGATAACCAGAGATTTGTGACAATATTCACAGAAAACTAAAAGCTAATAAGAAATATAAGTATAGTAAATGCTTAAATAAGTACCTCCATTCGTGTCTATGCCAGTTCAAAGTTAAAAATGCATTTAGAGTTTAATTATTATATCAAAGTGACCTCTGATGCTTTATAAATAATGTAAGTTAGTAAATGAAGGTTATTGTTAAACGTCTTGTTGTTTTAAGCAACTATTTAGATATGTAAATATAAATGTCCATCATATAATTTAGTATATTAGATTTGCTGAAGGAATTCTGGAACAAGTTGTAGTAGTACATACCGAAACCTTCAAGATAAGAGCTCTTTGAAAGAAATCCGCGGTAATGACTTACCATCCGGTGTGTGCAAGCTGATCTCCTCTCCTTAGCTATAAAAAAATAAAATTCGCCCAAAACAAAATAAATGAACTAGGTGTTTTATAGAGTACATTTTTTTTAAATTATGTACACAATAAAAAAATGTATGTATTCCATTCAGTTTGTTAAAAAGTATCTAGTAGCCTATTATATCCTTGGAATAAAAAAGAGTAGTGCCAATTGTGTTTTTATATCGTAGCATATATCTAAATTAGTTATTTATATTTAATTACATATTAAAATGCATAAGGACTAGACATAACTAGATTATGATGTCAAGTTGAAACGTAGTTAAGTCCGTTCTACCTCGTATAAATGTATGGTGTCCTCGTATGTATTGATTTTCACATTCGGAAAATGTTTCTTTCTGTTTCAGTTACTACAACTATAGTAGCATCTATACGAGTTTCGTCTAATGGCAATAGTCCAGAAATTAAAATGATTGGAGGTATGATGGTGGACATTAAAAAAAATTTAGTTCCTATGACACCCAGGATAAAAGAAACACCAATAAACTCAAATTATAATAAAAGTCGAAGGTTGAATAATAATTTAACAAAGCTGTCTATAAATGAACGCTACAGGAGATTAATACCATACATGACATTTTACTACGCAAATGATTTGGTTACACCCACTACTGAGGCTTATATTGCTAAAGATGTAGAAGTTGAGAAAGCAGAAATTATTGAAGCTACAACAATACGTCTAGAAAATGATCGTCAACCAAAGAAAATTATATTTTCACAGCACAAAAATATTCCTAGATACCAGGGAAACCGATTAACACAATACAACATTGCCTCTGCAAATCCAAGAAAAAATTTTTATGATGAAATTGTTCCCGTAAATCAAAACACAGTAAGAGTAATACCCAATTATAATCCTTTATTAACAAGACAACCTAGTGTATCAGTTAATGCGCATAATTATGATAATATAGTGCAAAAACATGTAATTAAAGCACCAAGTGCCCCTTTTGCAATCCGTAACAGGGCGCCTTATATTAATATCTATAACAACGAAGAGAGTCCAAACATAAGATACTACTTAGATGAAAAGGAACAAAGTCCCAGATTTAAATTAGTTCCATATGAGCAAACTCCTCCAGTTGTTGTATCCCCAAATGTAAACTATTATAATGATTTCAAAAAACCTATACCAGGATTGGGTATAAGAGACCCAGTCCATATCAAACCAAAACCAACTCAAACACAAGTTTATTATGATAATGTTAATATTCAGCAAACGATGGCTAGAAAACAACCTCCACCAACAAACTTAGAAAATTATTATGAGAAACGCCAACCACATCCAGTGTTAGTTCAACCTGTCATTGAAAGTGGTTTCAAACCTATTACGAGTCCACCACTAGTTACTACAGAAATTCCTCGCTATACCTCTATACCATCAGAAACACCTCTACCTTATTTTGAAAGTGTTAAGCAACCACCTATGCAGGGTCCTTTTGTAACTTCAACTACAAGTACTGATGCATCTCATTTTCAACAAAATTATTACCAATATATGGCAGAGGAAGTTACTTCTAAGCCGTCAATGGAACAAGCAAATTTTAAGCCGATATTAGAACAACCAATTTATCAAAACGGACATCATTCGTCTTCTAATGCGGTAACATTAGGAGATCTTATTAATTCATTACAATTGAATAAATCTATACCTAAACCTATAACAAGGGAAAACGTAGGGGCGTCAATAAGAACACTACTCCAGGTATTGAATGCCTTAAGAGCGGCACCAATAGAAAACAATGTCGACTCAATATCTTTCAGCACACCGAAACCGATTGCGACCACTGACCTCATTGAAACGACTGGGAAACCTTTATTAGAAGTAACATCAAAGGCGATATCTGAAGGGGATTATGACGAAGAATATTTGCCTCCTGTCAAAACACCGTCTCAGTATTTAGAAGGTAAGTTAATTTGTCTCCGGCAATAATATGTATTCATTTTTAAACACATTGGTAAATATTTTTTTATACATGTATGTACATATATAAAAAAATGTTTATCAATGTGAACCTGAAATTAGGTTAAAAATATTACTATTATTATTTTGAAATGATTTACATTAAACGACAATCACATACAAAACGCCTTATTTAACATTGGAATATAACATGCGTACCAATATTATAAATGTATGTATCTGTTCCCTTGTTATAACTAAATGGATAAATAGGTAGACCTTAATACCTGGAAGACAGACCGACTATATTTTATTTTAAAAATCAGACGAAGTCACGGATATTTGAAATAGAATAGACTATGATATCTATGAAGTTATTGATTAAACTACGCCTATTTGTCAGACTTAAAAAAATCATGATGCAAAATTTTTTCAGATTTTCCTAGTAGCGGAGGTACCAGTCAGCAGTTCCCTTTGCCAGTCACATCTGATGATGAAGGTGGCACGCCAGGGAGACCGGGTGTAGATTATCCGATTCTTACGACAATCCCTCCTACCAGTTTCGATTGCAAAACACAGCGTTATAAGGGTTTCTTTGCTGATACTGAAACGAGGTGTCAGGTTAGTTTTTATGAATGTAATCCTTGGCGTTCAAAAAATCATTTTGTACGTGAGATACTTATTATTTATATCATATATAATGCATATTATATAAATAATAAGTATCTCAAATCTTTACAGTGTATCAGGTTATATTCAGTTTATGTTCCTCATAAATTGGTAAGAGTATTATATTCATATATGTAGGTATATATATATATGTACATTATATATCACATTTATATCTATTGTATATATTATTTTATTCTATGTAATTTTTATATCCATACCATACATAGTATTTTAATTTATTTATGTATATTTTATATACACAATAGAAAATAGACGAGGAAAAATGTTAGGGCACTTGATACGGCACGATGATTTCATGAAAATTATTATTGAGGAGAAAATAGAAGGAAAGAGGGGGAGGGGAAGACCAAGGAATAGCTACATCAAACAAATTGAGGACAAAATGGGAGTCGTGTCGTATCAAGAATTAAAGAGCATGATGGAAGATCGCGGAAAGTGGCAAGAGCTCCACCGACAAGAGCGTAGCTCTACGCTCGCCACTACTGCCCTACAACGCTTTCTAATTGTACCTAAAGGTTAGCTGGTAGAGAATGCCATATGGCATTAACCTCGCCTTTTGTTTTTGTACAATAAAAAAAAAATACTGTCTTTGTAATATTAGGTACAGTAGTATCTTAGTATATTCTGTATATGTATATTTTCCTAACTTTTATAAACGGATGAAATTTGAAGATGTTTATTTATTTCAATGTGTTCCAAAACATTGTGTATTGGATGGTTCAAAAACACAATTGGCCTTTACCGCTTTTCTGGGCAAGACAACGTGTACCAACATTACAGAAACTATAGACTTCTATTTTTTTTATTATTTTCGCAGGTATGGCACTATTGTGATCTGAATGGTGGTCAAGCTTCATTCCTGTGTCCGAATGGAACAATATTCTCACAGGCTGCATTAACATGCGACTGGTGGTTTAATGTCAAGTGTTCTTCTGCGGCACAACTGTATGTTCTAAATGAAAGCCTCTACAAGTTTATTCTGCCTCATTCGCCTAAATTCCCTGAAGACTACAGCGGCCCCTTGGTTGATAAGTAAGTTCACAACTTTTCTCCCACTGAATTACTTAATACCTACATATAGTCGAAAGTGTATAATGTTTACACGGATTTATTATATACTTACCAATATTTGTTATATTGGTACCTATTACAGTTAGAGATAAACTTTTGGATAGGTTCATCATATTTTAATTCGATTTAACTGTTTTTTACAGTTGATAGGATGTTTTTATTTGACAGCCTTTATTTTGAAATTTTATGTTATAAAATATTTAATTTCAGATACCTGACTTTGAAATTCAAGGAAATGGAAGAGCAATTCAAAAAGAACAAGAAAAAAATAACTGCTTCAGACAAGATGGACGACGACAATGATTCAACGGAAACTAAGGACTACTCCAATGAGGAGTCCGTAGATTCAGAACAGTCAGGAGAAAGCGGAACAAGCGATTTAAACGCATCAAGTGTCATTGTGGAATCACCTGGCATGAGTGGTAATGTGGAAAGATTAGCGGACAGTTAAATTAAAAGTAAAATTAGTCATTCTGTTTAGAAATAAAACTAGTAGGTTACCATGTAAGGTCAATAAGATATGAAATAGGACCAATATGCTGTGATAATATGGAATTCATTTTGGTTGACCACGGTTACTACGTGGTATGCGTGTGAGCTGTGAACGTATATTATCGCGTGAATGATCGTTTAAGGAACGTTCAAAGGTCGAATTATACATTTTAATTTTGCCATTTTAATAAGCTATTCCAATGCTAATTGTGTTCTTGAGTGGATGATACTATTTTAAGGAATTAAACTTGCCATAGATTGCCATGTTTAATTCGGTTAATTTAATATTATAGATCTAAGGTGCAAAATACATGCCTTCTTGTAATATTGTATTTGTAATAGACGTATATAATTTTGAATTGTCAGAATTAATTTATTTCATATTAGTTTATATTATACCTAATACTCATATAATGATAGTTTATCAGATTGTAAATAGTTTAGGTAACATATGTACAACTATAAAATATCTATAAAGATGTGCAATAAATTATTATATGTATGTACCATTCGACTATTGTTTTGAATATGGACTCTTTGTATAAAAGAAACACCCATAGCCAGTGATTAATGTGAATGATTTTATTTACAGCACAATGCAAAGTAGTCGATATATTTTCTATGTTATGCTATTGAGAATATAATTTTAGTTGTATTAATATAAACGTCCAATAAAGCTGGGCTAAATATATATAATATTAAAAACAACTGAACCAAATTAGGTTACAGAGTAAAATATTCTTAAATCACATAGCTGCAATTTATTTTTGACTAATATATATTATATAAAAAAATGTAAGTACATTCTTAGATTGGGACTTGTAAACATTAACATTTAACTACATGTGAACACATGCCTACATTGACAAATATTATCCTTAATGACTGTAACCGAGATTCATCAAATTATTTATTAATCTAACGTATATGCCCTTAAGATGGACAAAACACTTATATAATGATTCACTACTGATATAATAAGTTATCCGAATGACATTGGACCGTTAAAGCTAAGACAGTACCTTAACACTTGGTACAATGCATTTTTCGCAGACAATATACTTATACAAAAATATAATTTTAGGATGAAATAATTCTTAAACATATGTTGATAAAATGATTACTATATTAATATAGAACGTGTTTCATTCTACTATTGAACACGTTTTTTCAAGTCCCAAGATTATCCCTATCTAAAGTTTTAATTACAGTTATTTACATTCAGACCACGTCTCCTTAGTTAACATCAATCACAAGTTGTTGCCAGTTCAGTCTTTATCCTCGCATTCTCTTAATTATGTACAATCGAGCAAATATAACCATATACATAATCCATTTGAGCAGTTTTAGAAAACATTTTATTTTATAGGTATATTTGGGAGCAAATATATACGCTTTTCGTGACTTTTCTAATTATTTAGAACAATTATGAAATTTATACTTAACATTATAATTTACATAAACAATTTATTATACCTGTGGTAGCATTTAGAAGTATAAAATCATAAATTTCAGATTACAATTTAAAAGCATAATAGTAAGTAAATTCTAAAGGATTTAACACTCACAGAAGATTTATATATCTCCATATAATCTATAGGCGAAGCCTATAATTCAATTTACCCTGTTATTTAAAAGATAGTTAAGTCGATACACACATTAATAGTCGTACTTACCAACAAAGAATAATAAATACCTAAGCACGAAAACGTGCGATAAAATATTATAATAACTACTTATCGAAGTTTAAATGCGAAATACACGTCAATATAACGATAAAACAATGTATACGTAACATGAATATAGACATCATTACGCACAATCCGTACATGGTCGTGTTCAGTAGCAAGGTAGGGGTCGAGTGTCGCCCGTGGTGGTGAGGACGCCAGCTTAATGTTTAGGCAGTACCAGCGCGGCGTGCTTGTGTCGCAGATGCGAGCGCAGGGTGTCCACGCGGCTGTAGGTGGCCGGGCAGTAGGGGCAGGGCGAGCGCTGCGCCGTGTGCGAGTGGAAGTGGTGCCAGCGGTTGGTCACCTCCTTGCCGCAACGTGTGCAGCGCCACAGCGCAGCGCTGCCCGCCGCCGCCACGAATGTGCTGTGGTAGGAAAACTGCGCTGACGCTGGCTGCGCTCGCTCTGCAACCAACAACCCGCCAGCGCCGTCACACCACGCCTACGTACCTCTACGCTTTCCGTAATCTATCTCGTATGCATTCGCCACGCTTTTCACATGCACGATTTAAAAACAAGTTCTATCGTTTCACGATTATTTAGATCAGGAATCGAACCTGAATATTGAAAATAAAGAAATTATATTATCTCTATGTAAAGGGAACTGAGAAGCTTTTATTGGATGATAACAGCAACGCGTGCGCATCAGGACTAGTTCGTACGCAACTCAATTTGCATGGGTGCGGGACGTGTGACACGCACAACTGAAACTACACGGATTGTAACATACCACAATTTAATGTAAAAATTAGTAATAAATACAACAGATAAATGCAGGAGTTTGCAACATGTTAAGATTGCATTACATAACATCAAACAATGTGAAAAAAAAAATTGCATTAACTGCTTGCATAAAACGAAATTATTTAAATTAAACTTTAAACGGAGGCATCAAACCAAGAAATTAAACAAAATATTCATAAACAACAAATAGTTCATAAAATTTTATGTAATAATATAACAAGTTTACAGTCAGCTGTTAGGTACACGATTTGACACCCCCTTCCTATTAGTATTACTCTATTGTGATACGACACTATAACAAATTTGCTAATGTATAAAGAAGAAACAAAATAAACATAACTAGACCATTGCTATCCTGAAAATAACTATATAGCTCATCCTGCACTCCATTGAATTCAAATGAAAATATCACATCCTTTGTGATATCAAATGTAAATTTTAATATACAATAAATTGGAATATTCAATAGATTGGCCAAATAAGTGACTAGGTCCACAAGACCTCAATTTCATAAGACTAAATTTAGTAATTCGTTAACCTTATGTATAAATTCCATATGGCATAAAGTTAGCTTTCATTAAGTCCAATTACGTGGTCATCATACAATTATATATTTAAGTGGCATACTTTCTGAAAGCCGAAAAGAGATCAAAGTAGATATTTTCTGAGCCAAACGATGTGATACTCCAAAATATTCTGGCCAGACACTATCAAGTATCCTAACCTAAAATATCTAAAATAATATTCTATGTTACTAATCAATCAATTTGCTATAGCAAATTTGATATTCAAAATTGGTCTTGAGTGATAGTAATATAAAAATGCATTCATGATTAGATGAAGCGTACGACGCTAGCGGCAATCTGCCGAGCGCGCTACTGGGAGATCACCGATCAACCACTCTCACTGGGCTATCACGCCCGTACCGGATAGCTATGATCTATTCATCAACAATAGACTTTAACTTGCGCGATAATAAATTATTAAATAGTACAAACTATTACGATTGGCAGAGGTAAACAAGCTAAATCTTAATATTACCAGCTATAAAACCTGTACATCACCGTAACCCAAACTGTTTCACTAGATAGAAATAGAAATGAGGATTCACTTATGTAAATACAAATAGGTAATTACTTTCTTCGAAGACATTAATTATATACTTTTAACATATGCTTTAGTTTGGTTACGTAATTAAATAACTAGTAATATTGCACTGAGTATGAAATGCTATCAAATAATAAGCGCCCACTGTAGGATCGGTTATACATTAGTCCATACAATCTTTCATATGTATTCTTTAAAATCACGTGTAAAAAGTAGAAGTGTTTGGCGATATTTAAGTGTGTGACTACATATGTAGGAGTTAAGAGCCTAAGATTTTAGTGGGCCCCTAAATTTAATAGACAATTGTAAAATCTATCTATGAGTTATGACTATTTAAAAAAAATTGCACACGTGTAATTGCATGTTCACAGCTACTAAATAGTACTAATACCACAATGCATTTGTGGAAAATGACCGTGGATTTGTTATTTGGATGCGGTAATTTCTTAACAATATTAATAAACTTTAAACATTTTTGGTAGTTTATGAACTGATTTGAAACAGGTCTTTATATTGATTTATTAGCAAATTTATAAATATCTGAATAAAATAAGGTAAAATCTCGAGTGATACTGTAATCTCTAAGACCATGTGTTATTTTACCCGTTGACCAGACAGATGCGACCTCAATTGGATGCTAGATGCCTTATATTAATTAATGCAAAGTAACTAATCATTAACACATTAATAATATTATAATAGGAGTCGAATCGTAGCGTGTTAACACTCTTGGTTCTAGCACCATTCCATTTTATCACATTTCAGTTACCGTACCACTCTAAGTGTTTAGCTAAAAATGTAACAATCTTAAATCTTAATTGAAAAATACATACATAAACGCTAGGTTAGTCCCAATCGTAGAATGCCAATATTAGTTACTAAATGCGCAACCACGAAACGTTTCATACTATCTTATAGTAATTGAAAGAGGTCTTTGACCCCAAGCACCGATCACACGAGGGCGGGAGCGAGATCGCGGTCGCCACTCCGCCATTTAAGATAACTAAACACCTACCAACGATAAAATAATAAAACATGTTAACATCTCATCTCATTTGACAATTCTAAAGTGTCTAAACGTCAACTGAATATAAACGAAATCATTGTTATTATAATATGCTGAATCAATAAAAACAAACAACACTAATAAATCATATTATATAAATATAAAAGTATATTAAATCAGACATAGAATATATCTAAGTATAAAAAAACAATCTCCGTAAATAGATCAACTAGTCTAGTATAAAAATCTTTTCGTATGTTTCCTTAGGCGCTATCCTTTAATACATCACATATCCTTATAAATTATCCATCTTGCAAAGGCCTCATGGAGTTACAAATGCATCTACACTGAGATTCAGTCATTATTTATATGTCGTTGACCAACGACAGATCACAATCTCTTCCCAGTCCTATGGATCCTTCCGTTGGATGTCGTTCTCTGCACCACCCGTACGATGTAATAACATAAATACAATTGGCTACAGGAAACTCATAATTTCCTATCTAACGAATAAATATAACAAGAAAGTGTGAGCCCTTACTGGGGCCACGGTTAATAGCCAGCATCACTTCGCGGTCGCACCGCTACTCAATAATAATGTATATTCTTAAATAGCTTAAGATTTCTATCGATATAATATAAAAAATAATATGGTAATAAAATTAACATCATATTATTGCTTTTGCCCGTTCCCGTATAGCAATTGGTATAGAAGAAAATTTGCTTACCTAGTTTATATACGTTTCGAGTCATTAATTCAGTAACATCGACATAATAGTTACATTCCTGACATGGAATCTTATACAAAGTCACACTCGGGCAAGTCAAACGCACAACCGAGACAATACTAAACGAGTCACCCGACACTCGCGGGTTACTTAAGAAAGGCCCGTTTAAGTAATAGCACTTCAGCTTAATCCTAAGTAGGAAGCGACAACGACGCGAGACGGTCTGTTAAAATTTTGACACATCAACAAGGAGAGTCTGAGCTGGCAGGAGGCGGGCGCTCACAGAGCGTCGAGGCCGAGCCAGTACATGGACAATCAGTCGAAGCCCGCGTCCAGGTGGTTGGCGAAGAGCGGCGCGTGCGGCGGCGCGGGTGCGGGCGCGGGCGGCGGCTCGAACTTGCGCGTGTCGGGGTTGTACGCGGGGTGCTTGAACTTGCAGTGCGTGCGCAGGTTGTCCGAGCGCGTGTAGGTGGCGCGGCACAGCGGACACTCGAACCGCCCGGGGAAATGCACGTGATAGTGGTTACGGATGTGAGTCACCACCTTGCCGCACAGCTTGCAGCGGTGCAGGTTCAGCGCACCCGCCACCCGCTCGAACGTCAGCCGCATGTGCCAGCCCTTCGAGCCTGCAACCAGCGAGCGGTCACTCCCACCACACCCACACACATCCTCTCCCTACTCTTCGTCATATGCCTCAATGCCGCAGTTCCAACTGCATACCGCGGCAACAAAAAAACTGCATCAACACGTAGTTTCTATTTCCTCAGAGAGAGCGAAAATTTCATTTATGACAATTTGTTTTACTGTCTATTAAAAATATTTTATGCAGTTTTTAGTGATGCGATTGGCTTAATATTGTTTGATAGTAGTATTTATTAACTCATATTTAATTGTTGGTTCTGCAGCATTCATTGCAAACTACGATTTTGTAATGTATTTTAATTAAATCAATTATTTATTTATATTATTATATATATTTAATTTACAAAATCATTTTGAAATAATATAACCTAATGGTCAATTTAGCACTATAGAAAGCTTTCGTAATAACTGTTAAACGCTGTACTATATGCTCCACCTAGCACTATATAAAAAAGCATGAGATAAGAAATATAAAAATTTAATTAAAAAACACAACTTTGAAATCATTATTAACCAAATATAGAATATTTAATAATGGTAGATTCATGCAGAAATGAATCAATGATGTTGAAGAAATGGTGTTTGTTATTTACGTATGACGTTGTTAATGTACTGTCACCAAGGCCTGTATACAGAAGGCTGTTTATAGAGAGAGATATAGGTCTGCTGTACATAAAGAAAGCATTAACAGAGGATGAAATGAAAAGAAAAGTGGTATAAATAAAGGAATATATTTGCAACAAACACACCGTAACGATTAGATTAAAATACAAATTGTTCGTGAATTAATTAAAGAAAAAAAAAATTAAATATAAAGTGATCCTAAAGTAAGTATACAAGTAAAATCAGTTCTTGACACGTGTAGTGTCTGGTTATTACATCTACAAGGAACGATAGGAGATCAAAATGTTAGCAACTAGTACATCATTAGGATAAAAAATATAAAATCAATTTATAAGCATGTTAACAGATGAGATTTTTATATTAATATGTATGTATATAAAAGGGATTCAGACAATATGTCCATTAATTTAATAATTCTAACAATAAGAATATGACACATCAATTTATAATGTCATGTGAAAAAAGGCAGAGTTTTCTAGAGAACCTAAAAGTGGTAAAATAGTACTAAAAATATATTCAAGTGTTTATAATAGTAATTATTGTGTTTAAATTCAATTGCGACATTGCAGTATCATCATCAACGATCATTTAGAATATTAAATTCATAATAGACTATAGTTTGTAATGTTTGTGCATAGATCCTGTGAGATGGGGTGTGATTTGAATGCAGGCGACGACGTGCACGCGCATGCGCTCCAGGGCCTTCATTATGTAACGATATAACTAACAATTCTCATGTGAAACTGATTATATACAATCTGCTATTTAATAGTTATGTGTGCAAGGAAACGTAGAATGTACTTTGGATCTACAACCCTCAAACGGTTCATAGATAATCGCAAACATATAGATTTTAATCTGTTACAATAGATATATAAAACATAATTTAGGACCAGGCTCCATGACCACACTCTTAACGCCATGAGAACACATCGCGTGATCATTAAGAAAGTTGTGCCTTCTATACTTACGATAAAAAATATTGTTATGTATTAAAAATAGTGTTATGTTATTTTACTTTAGATATCAACAGCATTATAATAGGCATAAATCTTTCCAAGTCGATAAAAAAATATTATTAATAGAATTTTGACGATGGGTTAATTCAATTGACTTACATGTTTTAAGTGTGACTATGACTACTATATTTTTTAAAGTATACGTTACGTGTTTCGTATAGAATTGTCTAATTAATTATCAATTCTACAGGATGTTTGAGGATTTCTTTCACAATATTTTTTCGGTGAGCTCTTGGTAATATTTTTAGGCCTATATTTAAATATAGGCCTTAGAATGAACGGATTTTGATGAATCTTTGCGCCAGGTTTGGTCTTGGTGTCTTAAAAAAATCTCATAATTGATATTCATTTTTGTTGGAATAAAATGTGAATGCTAGTGTACATCTTCAATGAAGTATGATGGAGGAAAATGATGTTCTTAATTGATAAAAAGTTGCAAATAATAGACTTACTAATAATCCGCTTATACATACATATTACGAAATCGCATTTCATTACATAACTGTTGTATGCTTATAAATGATTTATCTAACTTCTCACAGCACATTTGTTGGTATCCACTATACAAATATTGAAAATAATGAATACATTTTCAACAATTTGAGCATTGAGCTCCTTTTATAATTGTACATAAATAGTACATACAAAATTCACAATATCACTAGATCTAATAAAAGCGAAAATCTAATGATAATAATACAATAGTATACATACTGTGAACTAGAAATCAACACATTGTTTGCATTACCAGTAATAAATCTTCGCTTTTACTTTATTATGAGTATTTATTAGAACATAATGTAAATTAAACAAAATTAAACACACCACACCTTAATTCTAATTGTACATGATGGATAATTGTTAGAACCAATAAATAAGCGCACTTGTGTTAGAATATTTTTGCAGAATGTTAGTTAATTCTAGTATTGTTAGAAAGCTTATGAGTGTTTACTATTTATTATTTAGTTAAGTATAGTATTCAATTACACTATTTACATTAGCGATTACTGCTCTGTACAGCTATTATTAATATCGAAATGAATTATGAAGAAGAATACTCATGCGATTTCAATGCACTTTTTGATAGGTTCAACCCTCCTATACACTATTCTAACATTTTGTACTTTATTAAAATTAATATTACTAAAATACAACAGAGTTAACATTTGGTTTGTATATTTGATAAATTATTGGACCTTAAAACTGAACAATGTTTCATTCGTAAATGTCTTTTCAAATTATCTGCACGTGTCAATATAATTGGACATAAAGGACATTTGTGTTGTTCTGGATTATGTGACTTCATATGCTTTTTTAGATTGTTGACGAGTTTTCCGCATATATTACATGATTCGGGAATATTGTATGGTTTCTGATTTAAGGCTACTTTAAATGATTTTACTATGTTATCGATATTTACTAAACTATGCTTGAGCAATTCCTGTGGTTTAGCGTTTTCGTCATCGCCATAGTGCTCACCTGTAAGATATGTGTAATTCTTGATACAAGTCAGTTATTGATTGCCATGCTGCCTTTAAATAAAACATAACTAAAACAGGAAGATATATGGGTCCTTCTGTTTTAGTTACACACCTTTTTTTATATAATATCAGTATTATTTAATTTTCGCACACTTAATTCATATTTCAAAAACCATTCCATTCTCTTTTCCTTTTTTCATGCAATCTTATTGTTCAGTTGTAATCTTCAAAGTATTTATAAATACATTTCTAATAACTATTTCCAAAGAATCATTAACATAATATTTAATTTATAAACTACCACGAAGCAACTGTATTATGAATTTTACGACCTATGTCCCTCAGGGGCGCCAAATCATTGTTATTAGACCACATGACACCGATTTCTTCATTTATAAAATAAGTTGAACAAAATTTCTACTACAAGCAAAAGAAATAAAGCGTCGTCACAAAACTACAGAGAGAGTGGCATTAATCAATACATGCATTAGGGTGTTTTATCGTGCAAAAAATATAGCGTAGCATACTGCTATATGAATAATGTCCATAACTATTTATATTAATTTATGTACAATTTAGATGATTTACTACTATATTCATTATCTTGTCGATTATTATAAGGAATTAGGAATATATATTAAGGTTGTAATTTATTCGGATTTCGAGTTTTTTAAGAAAGCAAGCCTTAGTAAGCAAGAATGGCCGTACGCTATGTAAGACCATCATTAAGTGCTTCATATACCTGATATGTATATGAAGCACCGGCAACCGGTGTATACATATACCTGAGTGTTACCACTTCCCATCAGGTAAATAATAAGGTTGCTGGCCATTCCAGTTCCAATATAAAACTCTACTATTAATTATTAAATTATTCGATTAATTGTACTTATCAGAATATATTCACTTAAAACAGCTTAATGTCTACTCTGTATTTTTATATATACAAGTTAACATTGCTTAGTTTCACTAAGTTATTCCAGAGAAAATTTTATTATAATTTACATCCTTTAAATTAAAATCAACATAACAGTAAATAAATTGAAATAAAAAAGAATTTAGTTTGAAGTAGATTATCAATGTGGTCGGCAAATTAGAAACGTATTTTTTTTATATTTTAGTTTCCATGTTAACATCTCAATTCCTTTAAATAACCGATGTATTTATTCATTAAAGTTAAAAAAAAAACTCTGCTAGTCTCAAAAGTCGATGTATAGAATTATGTCAGAATTTTAAGTTATACGAGACAATGTAAAATCTATATTTGGCATTGGTATGCAAAGCAGTATTTTAACATGGCAAGGAGGTTTCATACAAAACAGAATTGCGAAATAATTTCGACGACTACAAAATTACACAATCAAGGAATACTAGTATGTCTGTAATGTAAATTCATTCTTAATTTGTAATTCAATTTTAGGCCTTGACGCGTTACAAAGTACACTTAGGCATTAGAGAAATACCTAACCATTTTTTATTTGTAGTCGTCGAGAAGGGGCAAAATTAACTCACCATCAATAGTATCAGTCTGATCGGGATGAGGTTGTAACATAGGCTCGCTTTCATTGCAGTCGTTACCGAGGGGATGTTGGTTCAGCATGGATGCCATCTCGCTTACTCCAATACCCTGAAAATAGAATAATAATGCTTAGAAGGGAATTGATTTTAATTTCAATATACACATTAATTAAATAAAAGGATTTTCATACATTTTTAATAGCGAATATTAAGTATACATAAAAAGAAAATTTTACTGTAAGATGATTTAAATAAAATTGTGAGTAGCTTTGACGTGGTCTGGTGTTTTGAGTAGTCATGCTCACTAAAATGTAAAGACTTGTGGCGGCGTGGTGCGCCGGGCTCCCTAAAATATGGTCGAGCGCAGTGATGGCTGGCTCATCCGTCATACTCGTGAACGGGTGCTGCTTGTAGGGACTGGTCTGCTCTAATCACTATGACTGATTTCCTCTTATTAATTGTTTAACCAGTTGGTTATGTATTCAATATTTTTTCTTTTTGAGTATTTAATTGAATTAGTGCTAATTGGTGGTTTGTATTCACACACTTAAACTTAAAAATGTAAAGTAATAATAAAATTATTTAAAAGAGCAACACGCAAGTTTCTTGATCGTTCTTCTTGTGATGAGACAGCTTTCCGAACGAGCGGTAGATTAAAAAAAAATGTAATGACTATTCAAAAGTGCTTCAGTGTAAGTTTATTTGAATAAATGATTTTCTATTCTATTCTATTCTAAAAATAAGTACTTAGTACCTAACTAAGTGAAGGACATATTTTTATAAAGAAAAATAAAAAATATATTTAATTCTTTATTTAAAGCGTATAAACTACTGTCGATTTGAAACCTAATTAGATATTGCAAGCTTTCAACATATACAAACATGTTAGCCTGACAAATTCAATCACGTTTTCTTTGTAGAAAATTTAATATAAATCAATCTTATGATAAAACAGTATCTAGTGCAAATTGGTGGTTGCATAAACGAAAATTTTGGTTAAAAAAAGTATAAATAGCTAATTTTAATGAAACTTTAAATTGTACCTTTATTTAGTACATCAAATGTACACCAAAAAAGAATACAGAAAACGGACTATTAGTCAAGTAAATAAGGTCTAAAACAACTACATACAGTTACCATAAATACTACAGAATACAATTAATGAATATAAAGCCATAATACAAAAGCCGAAGACGAACCTTGAAATTAAATAATCTGTATAATAGCGATATGCTACTTACTGCCTGACACGGCAAAAAAAATAGTTGCTCTACGAGGCTGATAGAGAGGCTAAATGGGTAAAGAAGTTCTTTAAGAAAATATTTTGTGGTATTTTGGCGAAAATATGAATAATAAATAATTATTTTAAAAGAACAGAAGAAGCTGCGGTATAAGGTTATTGCGTGGAAGTGGGACTAACCTACCTTTGTATCTCGAATTAAATTAGTATAAACATTTTTGTACTAATACTGAATAAAATAAAAACTGCATAAATCAAACTTAATTTATTACTTGTATTTCGTTATTTATATATTTATAAATTAGTTGTATGATTATAATATCTCTGTAGTGACTAAATAGAAACTGTCGATATATATTTTACACAGTCTTGGCTAAATTATTATCACATGGTGTTTCATTACAGAATAGCATTTTTTAAGACTGTATGTTCATGATTATGATAAAACATGTGAGCTGTACATTTATCATGGTGATTTACTATCTCTAACCTAAAATTAGCATTGCCTTCTATGAAGGAAGTTCTATTAATAGTAAGCTCATGCGACCATTTTCTATAATACGTGCAGTACATAATATTTTTTAATTTGTCATACTGCAACCAAGGATAGAGCGTTTGCCAACTGGACCGAAATCGTCCAGTATTGCTCACACGGGGAGTAATTTCTTTTTTTTAAGACATGGCGAGCATGGAGTTATTTGGCCATACGGCGCTGGGATCCAACGAAGATGGTTCAATTTCGTTTAAGTTTTCTTCCATCTCGGTAACTTCTTGCTGATCCGAGGTCTGCCAACAGATAAGGAAAGGATCTGCTTTATTTTTTTAAATTTTGAATAAAATGTATCCAATTATTTTATTGAGGCAGATCCATTCCTTCCTGTCTGTCGACAAACATTTTGGGAGATAAGTTCAAATACAGCAAATGAAGAAATGGCGGTCTGCTCTACCTTATTTTAGAATTTTAGGAAGGGTAAACAATCCTAATAAATCCTATACTGCTCTGGAAAAGTAGTCGAAAATTACTATTATTTCTTATAGTGTAATTAATGTCAAAATATATGTAATAAATAAACGAAATAGATATTACGCCATATTTTCTTCAAATTTACTTTTCTACATGCCTTACACAACGAGCGTTATAATAATTTAAATAATACATGTTTGTGCCTGTATATACGACTGCTTCAATAAAATTTTCTATTAGCATACATGTATTAATCCCAAACAGTAATAGGAAGTTATGAACAATCGAATGAAAACAGGAGCGGTATAGCGGGCACTGACCGTGAGATGCGTCTGGTCATAGTGCGGTGCGGGGTGGTGCTGGTGGTGCAGAGACGCGAGGGGGCCGGCGGGGGGCGCGGGCGGCGCGGGGGGCGCGGGAGCCGCGTACGGGGACTCGGGCTCCTGCTTCACGAGCGGCGCGTGCGCGGGCGACCGCGGCGTCAGGCGCTGCGGCGTGTGCGCCGGCGGCGGCGTCGAAGGCTCCGATCCCGATCCAGTTGATCCGCCCTTTACCGACTTTAGATGTCCCTGCGACATACCCCTCAGAGGTTATTATTCATATGATAACTAGCCGTCCCGGCAAACGTTGTTTGGCCATATTAATTAAAATCGCTAGTAAAAAATGTTAGGCGTGGACAACCTTATCCACTTAGGGGTATGAAAAATAGATAGTATGTGATTGGCATATATATATATATATATAACATATAGCATATAAAATTTCATAAAAATCGGCGAAGCCGTTACGAAGGAGTATGGTAACTAACATTGTGACATGAGAATTTTATATATAGTAGAAAGAAGGCATTTCAGTCAGTGCTCCTGAAATGTTGCAATCGTTACAAAGAAGTAACTGTGAAATAAACAATGATTTAGTTTATGGATATATTATTCATATTTTACTAAAATCTATCTAAATTGAGAGCCAGTGTTTCAAATTTGTTCTGTCTAGCGTATTGAATCGTAGTGATGAAGAAAATGCGTTTTTTTTACCATAATTCAGTGTATTTACAAACCTCGTAGTGCCTGTAAGATAATTCATCTTCTCTTGGGACTGAGGAGTTCTTTCTGCGTCTCTTTTCGAGCGGCAAGGAGTGCGGCGGATGCGCTGGGTGCGAGGGAGCCGACGATAGCGGCGTGAGTGCCGCGGGCGGTGCGCAGTGCGCGGCCGGTGGCGTTGCAAAGCACTCGGTCCGAGACGACAAGTTCTCCGCACTAACCGACGGCGTCGACCGCTCCTCTGTCTGTACTCCGACAATATGCCATTGAATATTATATTCAGAGTAAAATAATGAAGTAGCACTACATCCAAAAAAATTATGCTACAAAATAAAAACTGTGTTAACAGAAATTTAGCTCAAATATAAATAAGTTATATATTTCAATATTTTATTAAGAACTCTTCGACGTCAATAAATAACAATTTGAAATAGCGACATTCCGTCGTGTCTCTAGGACTGTTTCTTTATCCTGTTATATCTTATTAAGATATATTTTTATAGAAAACTAGCTGTAACACGCCGTGGATTTTTTTATTATTAAAATATATAAAAATTCTAAAGAAAAGTATCTTATTACTCCTTATAACATTAGCTATCTACGAGTGTAAGTCTCGGCAAAATATTTTGTTTTTTAATTTAATTCAGTATGTACTGTAAATAGTACACACTGTTCTTAAAGTATGTACTTTCATATGCATTTATTGAAAAGCTGTTAATTTTAAATTACAAACAGACACATCAATTTAATTTCATAGTATAGATAACACTGCTATCCTACATGTACATAGCAAAACGAGTTCATATTCATTGTACGTTGATTATTACATTAATTATTCTGTATGACTATGAAAATATATTTTTGTAAATATTCTTAAGACAATAATATATCGTCTTTGTTCTATGAATTTGTAAATAACGTTAATATAGATAGAAGAACCATCATTATAGCTTGCACAAAGAATCATTGCTAACGATGCAGAATTCTCTAAGCCAGAGTACAAAAGTAGTCACAAAAAAAAATACGAATGAAGTCGTCCATCTTTTTAAGTGGACTAAAAAGAACTACAATATAGTTTATTGATACAATCACGTTGTGCAGGTGAATTATGATTTATGGCTGGTTGGTGTCGCGAGGACAGACAAATAGTTATTACAATATTGTATATCGACTAGCAGTATACGATTTAAAATCACATTTATAATTGGAATGCATATCAACATTTTTTTTAATACTTTAGTGCGCCAACAATGTAATTCTTTTTTCATATATAAGTTTTTATTTCATTCGGCGATTTTTATTTAATTGACAGGATATGAATCTAAAAAAATGATATCATTTGATTATATTACACAGTCCATGTTTTACTGTAATGCTGAATCCATAATTCTATCCATTCGAACTACTTGACTTCCGTGGTTTGACGGATTATGTTTAAATAATATTATTACATTTTATCTATTCATATTATCACAATACCGAGAGTATAGTGTTATGGTCAAAGATAAAGTAGAAATATAGATAAAGAACAATTGGACTAAAAGATTGTTACAACAATTTCGGGAGGAAACAAAGTTCTTAGCATTATTAGCCTCACTGATTAAAATTTTTTATAACTTCTAAATGAGAATTGTAATATTTAAAAATGATTAAATACCTAGTTATACAAAAAAGGAATATATTTAGATAAATGTTTTCCATAATTTTCTCTTCAACTTTTTTATAGCAAATAGTGTTATTCGGAATCATTCAATTTTTGTATTTTATAAAGTTATTATTGAAACTGAAATAATGACATATAAATTTTGCTAAGATGAGATCCGTTAATTCTAATTATATAAATGTATTTAATATCTACAAATTAACGACAGATAAATATAAAGTAAAATGGATACAATATTTTAAAGTATATACAATATGTATAATTATCAATATGTCGGTTCTACAAAATTTAAACAACAGGTATTGTCGAGAATTTCGTTCTGATAAACCAAATGTTTTATAATGAATATGTAAATACGACAAATACATAATTGAATAAAGTTTTATTTTAAATATAATAAAATATCTTCTTAAGTAAAATTTGTGTTGTACAGAAAAGTATCGAAGACAGCGTTTCAATATTAGAATGGTTTAGGTAATTTACACATAATAATACAATTAAATAGAGTTTTGTAATTCTCGCGTGATATTATCTATTGATTTAATGTTACAACCCAGGGTCATCGAGCGATCGTCACCAAAATACAAGGTCAACAAGCCATAGAATATACAACTGTGGATTTTAATGCAAAAAAAAAAACTAGTTAGGGTATTCGATAGTACAACTGACGCGAATAAGTAAAAGAAAAAGAATATTAGAGCAAGTAGTGTGATGAACTGTATTATTTACCGTATCCCACATTGTTTACTCATTTTTTAGATGTAAATAAAACTCCAATGGTTGATATGCATAACTGTATAAATGAATCATTATTTCGTATATAAATCGTATTGCAAATATAAGTACTTTTTCAAGTTATTACATAAATCTGATTTCCACTGATTTCATTGAAATAATAAAGAAAATTTCTTTCGTATTTCCAAGACAAGGCCAGTAGTTTTACTACATATTTAAATTATTATTTAGTTATAGGTTTTGCATATGAAAATACTTAAAGAAGTAATGTAGATTATAGAATAGTTACCTTGGGATTCAATGTATTATTCTCTGTCAACCCTCTAACTTGTAAACTTTCAGCAGTTTTTAGGAACATCGGTAGCATATTTTGGCCAACATTTACTTCCCCCTGAAAGATAAAACAAATTTTGAAAGACAAATTTTAAACTAATATACAACAACAAATATTTTTTTATACTTAACATTATACAACTCACCTTATACATGAAGTCCAATAATGACTTCATTTCCGTAAATCTTACATCTTTTAGGAATATAATTGGATGTGGGTGCGAGTTTTGCAGGAAAATACTTTCAAAATATGGGGAGCACGCCGAGAGTATTGTCTGATGTGCCTAAAATAATACCAATATATTTTTCATTAATTTTAACAAAAGAAATTATGTCCTGCCACACTGTTTTTGAAGGTCTTCTCAATTATGCTAACATTATATGGCAATAATGTCTAACGACCATTTAAGCAAAGCCATTGTTATTAAAATTAGGTAGCACTCTTCACAAAATTGGATTTGAGTAAGGTTTACATAGTGATGTTTAATTTCTATGTTTCGTTAATCGTTGTAATATAATGATAGAATGTACCTATTCAAAATGTATTTCAAAAATACTAACGAGGTAAAAAAATGTGCATTTCAAGTTAATTGCAATCTTAAATTTAATGAAAAGGAGATGGCAAGCCGATAAGTCAACATAGATTTTACTAAACATTTGATAAATTTGAATAATTATGTACCTTTTTTTTATAAATTCTAATTCAACTTTCATTAGTCGCCCATGATATTAAAACGGCTTTCACTTCCACTTTATTTTTTTGTTTTTAAGTAGGATTCACCTATGGTTTATTTTTTTATGTATATGTGGTTCACCGTCAGAATGTTTACTATTTGCATCTATTATATATATTTGCTACTTATTCAAGTTAGAGTATTCTTACTTAAATATATAAATAACAAGAGGGAATATAGCTCATTTTAGGGTACCATGAACATTATTTTGTGTGCATATTATGTTTATAATTTAATATTATGAATTTAAAAAAGTTTAAATGATACGAGACACCAAAGTAAATTGTAGGGCATACATTAACTCGAAAGTATACGTTGGCTAATAGAAAGAGAATCATCAAAAATACACATAAAAAATACAGTCCCACCTGCTGTTTGAAGTAATTTCAATATGTGTGAAATACCTACTGGCATAGAACAACTGTATACAGGTACACGATGCAGTTACTCGTTAGTACTATTGCATAACGGTTTATATATATATACGTATATAAAATGTTTCATCACTTGCACTTAACAGTAACTGGTTATAAACTAATATCAGTACCAACATTTATATTTGACGAATACCTTAATGCCATTTATAACCTTATATTCTTGCCGTATTGGATTGTTAAGAATAAAATCGAAAAAATGTTTGTATATTACAAACTATCCGACGGACATTATGTAAGTAGATAGGTATTTAAATACACATATATTTTTATTTCATGAAATACTATTTATTTATTGATACGTTACAATGCTTAAAATTTCCTCTACAATTGAAGGAACAAAAATGTATAGTTATTACATTTTCAAAACGCTGAAATAGATCAGATATATAACATTTTGAATTTGTTCTTACAAAAACTATCGTCGACATTTTTAATTTAGAATAGCGTTAAGAAACCGGATTGATTAGTGACTGTAATTTAAATACAACTTATTAGTAATTCATCCGTCCTTTCTACATGAAAATGCTGTGAATATAATGTATGTTCGTGAATATAATGTATGTTCGAATACATAGGTACACATATTACGTGGCGCTATATATAAATCCTAGAGCATGTTTGTTAAATCTCAATAGAAGAGCATTATGTATGTATGGCGCTCTAGTCTAATAAAGACCCTAAAACCTGTCAAACTACTGACATTAAAAATTAGAAAGTTAAAAAACATGCAGCTCTTCTGCAGACTCCTTTCAACCTACAAAACAAATTGCATTTTATTAGCATAAAACTTTAACTTTCATAATTCTTGAATTTAAATGGTATAAAGGAAGTGACTAGCCAGACGGTGTTATTGACCTTTACATTTCAAACTGTACTCTATACGGTACAGAAAAGGGCCGCCAATCGTTACCTCTAAATTTAGCCAAATTAACTTGCAAAATAAGATAGAATCTTTGCGAATCTCACAAAACGTTTTATATATACAACTTTAAATCAATGTATCGCGATTTAAGGAGTTTCTTCATTTGTAATAAAAGTAATATGAGATTAACATTGGTGTACAGATTCTTTTGATTAATAAATGTAATAATTTGAATTGGTTTATTGGATATGGATACATATACAAAAAATAAGAAAGGAATGAGATGAAGGAAAATAAAATGGACTTGAGGGAGTGCTCTAGAGAACAGTAAGGACAATCACCTTAAATTATTATTTTTCTACAAAATTTTTTTTTTTAAGTTTATATGAAATAGGGATCGACTATGGAATTTTTTGAAAGTCTTAGAAACAGCAATAGCGGTCTATTAGCGCGGGAAACCGATATTAATCTATAAATTCTAATATTATGCATATATCTCGAAAAAAAAAAAGACGTAACTATGCTAAAAATATAAAGAGATGAGTATTGACTTGTCATAATCGACCGATTCCGTACAAGGGTACATAAAATAGGCAAAAAGCGAGTCTGATTTAAATTCTTTATATGGCAATTATTTAAGTAGATCTGTACTAACTTCAACTAATATATACAAAAGTGAAAATATATTACATCTGTCAGAAATTGATGTTATATAATGAGAATTTTTACTAGAAATAAACTAAAAATTCTAAATAACATTGAATCATGAGCATCATCTGAATCGTACCACGTAACAACTGTTCCTTATCAATATAGTAGGTATTAATTAACAGATGTTAAGTAATGACTAGGTACTCTCGAACATAGTTAAGGGTTGAGTCAATGTATCGAGCAGAATCGCCAATTTTAGGCGAATACATAAGGCAGACACGGATTGGTTACTTTAACGTTTTAATATCATATGTACAATATAAAGCACAGTGGTATAAAAAGGATTATACTTATAGTTTTGCTGCGTATATAATCTGAAATAAGGATATCCGCAGTAGAACTTAAGTGACTGCTCTACCCTAAGAGCTAACACGCCAAAGAGGCAATCAACCGGTAACTAAAGGGGAACATAATTATTATTATAACATTACTATTATTATAGTGATACTAGGCATGTTAACTATCATAAGTATTATCTACACTGTAAAATTATTTGAAAAGACTACTGTAGTTTCTACATCCTTTTTTTTGGTAGAGTTCAATATTCTGAAATTGGTAGATGGGAGGTAAGCAAAAAATAATTAAAAACTGCTTATAACCACTAAATTTAAATTAGGAATTATTCTAGTCTCATCTTAAAAATAACATAATATATTCATAATATTCGTAGGCGTACGTTATAATAAAGTTGTAATCGTCGTAATAAAATGGTGACTGCAATGCCTGTCGTGTCAAGGACATTTTTTTCAATATTGTTATTGACATGAAGTATGGTAGCACTGTAGAAATTATTTATTGCTTTACTATTATCACACGGGATCATTACATTTAAATTTAATTTGTGACCTTTTTCTATATTTAAATTCATTTACTTTATTTTAGAAGTAAAGTAATTAATACATTTGTTTTATATGGGATCATTTTAATAACATTTGTTTTTAAATAAATAATAATTAACGTGAATGGTAAAGATATGCTATTCAAGCAAGTTTAACAGCAGAGATATTTTGAATTAAATTTGGTACATATGTATTAACACATAATTCTTTTCAATTTATCGGTCTAAGTGATACAGTTAAACGTGAAAGGTTGATATAGAGAAATGGAAATGTCGATATTACTCTATATTTGGGTAAGCTATTATGTTTTATCTGCTTAAAGCCCTTAATTCTTACATATGTTTTTACTACTTTTTTAAAACATAAATTTAATGAAAATTACAAGACAAGACTGCCAACTGGCTACGAAATTATAGCACATTTCATATACACGTTAATACAGAATGCATTTCCGACTCTGTTAATTATTATAATTGTATGGAACTTTTTTGGTTGTAAATCCATTGGAATAAAAAAAAAACATTCAATTTTAACTAAAGTTTACCACAATACATTAGTAAAAACAGCATGCCAATCGATTAAGTAATTTTTGACATTATCACGGACGAAACTCTAACAATTGCTTCCCACTTGATAAAGTCACTTAATAATATTATTTCTGATATAGAATATTTTATAACATCAGTATAAGTTACTAAAAATAACAACAGGAAATTAACAAAAATAATTCAATATGAATCCTAAATGCAACCCACCTTGACTTATTATAACTTGTAGGTTTAAATTATATTATTAAACACACTAGTGAAATAACAGTTTATCGCAACTTTGTTATCATAGGAATAGTACCTAACTACTCATCTTACCAAAACCTAACTCCAGTAATCCAGAATTCTTATATATTACATATTCATCGCTAACTTCATGCTTCTCAGGTTTTATTTTTACGATATAATATAGCCTACTAAGTCGACCTTAAAACGTCATTGGTGAGAGTGAGAGAAACCTACACATGATTTTAATAAAAAAAAAAAAAATTATTCTAAGGCAAGCAGTTCATTTATTTCAAGAGATGAGGTACTAATGCACATTTAAAAAACTAATTTCTAGGATATAATAGGTATCACTATCCATGTTTTGAGCTAAGATACAAATAGAATAGTGTGTGAATTTGGTGAATATGATTTTTTGTATTAACTTTTAACATTTTATAGAATATAGAAGAAAAAATAAAATGTATAATATAAGGGGCAGTTTTTTCCCAGAGTTTGGTCTATGTGGAACACTTTATGATCTCTGGAAATGGTGCTGTGATATTTTTTAAAGTTTTTCTTGGTCTTTACTTATGTTATAGAGAATTATTATACCAATAATAATATTTCAATCCAACTGCATTTTCTCAGTTTTATTAATTGGCCTAATACTATTACAATTTTATTAGCTTTAATAGTGTCTGAAATGTTACTGTAATGTTACTGTAATGAAAGAGCAGTGACAGATGGATTGACTAAGTTGTACCATAAGTTTCTAAGTATTTATTTCAGAACAGTAAACATGCAATAATTAATCAATTATAAAAACCAGTTGATTTTCTGATTATTTATTTTTATCATTTTGAATTTAATAAAATAATAATATTTAATCATAAATGTTATAAATAAGTACAGGATATACCAAAATAGCGATCTTTCTAATAGTTGGACTTTAAATTATATCTGCCCAAACCTGCGAATTCAGGCTAGTTATATTTCCATTTATAGAGTATTTTAACATTTTTAAATTAAAATGTTTACTTTTGTACAGATACACTATCTAAGGTATTAGTTATATACACACATACAAGTATGTTATGTGTGTTAGTACTGATTAATATAACAATTAATTTTAGTAGTGAACAGCAAATTTAAGTATAAATAGTTTAAAAATATATCTAATAGTCAAAAAACCATCAACATTGTAATGTACTAACTCTAAATTTAACTATAACTTCATTCAATGATCATTACAAAATGATTAATTTCAATGAATTCAACTTAGAAAATAAGGGTGTACACAAGTACATTTATAGTAGTACAGAACTAGAAATTTACAGTAAATAGCAGTAATATCATTTGTAAAAAATATCAATGTACAGACAAAGTACACTAGATGCACACTAAAGAAAAAATATTACAAAACATTATCTGAACTGTGAAATAAATATAAATCTCATATTATTTATCTGTATCAATGAATACAACAATGAGTTATATCACATAATGAGGTTACAGCATTACTCAGGTTTGTTTACTATTGAATGCATTTTGTTGTGATAAAATAACAAACAGTTGCACATGGTTAGACAGCAATATTATATTAATGTTTACATATATTTCTTTAAACAAACTAATAGTACTCATACTTATCAATTGTAATGCATTAAGAGTAAAAAATTTTGGATAGTCTTACATTTCAGTTCCAAAATAATATTCCGGGGTAGATCTAAGATACAAAATATAGAATAAAATACATGTAACTAGGATAAGTAAAATAGAAATATATAAGTACCTTGACCGTTTCCCCATCACAGGCCAGTGTGACATCACAAAGTGCCTCTCTTTGTAATAGACTTGCTAGCACATCAGTTAGGTTGTTCGGGTGGTTGTTCCAGCGCAAACAAAATTGCTGGTCCATTGTAGGTGCCAGTGTTGTCAGTGACCGTGCTGCAAATAATGCCATGTGTTAAATAAATATATAATAATTACCCTACAAAAAAGGTACACAACAATAATTTTAATTGGTTCAATAAAATAAATTCTTTGTAATACCCAGTAAAAATTAAATAATGTACCCTTTATATGAATTTCTGTCAACCAACCTATAAAGTTGCATCACTAATAAACAGCCGGTAACTATAGGCGTGCGGCGGTTATCAAGTTTACATTAAGATATTATGTGCAAAAAAAAATTGGCGGCCATAGGGCCTAGATAGGAGAGCGTTGAGATAAGTGACATCAGCGGCTCGAATTAATGGGGGCCGCGAGCCGCGGGCAGCGAGCTTACTGTACTCCAACATTGACAGTTAGCTAGCCGACACATATCTACTTGTTGCATGCTCCAAACAAGACCCATACATTATGTAATTTAACTCCAGAAGACACAGCGCGGGGCCACCGACCCTACGGGACGCGGAAACCTCTAGCCGCCTCTATAAACGAGTTTAAAAAAGTAGTACCGCTCGCCAAAAAAATCGCAACATGCTGACACCGTTATAATCGCCAAGCTGGATGTCCCAGTTGCTATGTCCACACGCGAGATATCAAGAATTTGAAGATGCACCAATATTTGTTGTTATCACAGATCATGCCGCGTGCTTAAAAATTGGCAAGGGAACGATGAACGGTATTCTAAACGCGTAGTTGTGTCAACTTTGGCTATTCGTAGCGCCATTTGCCGATCCCGTATCACAGAATCTGAGAATTTTATTAACAATTAACACCAAAAATTTCTCGTAAACACACAAATTATTCACTAGCACAAATCAAAATTAATTCCGTAACACACAACAAGTCAATATTTCCTAACTCACCATTTGCAAAAATTTTGCCATCACAAACGCCACCCGACCCCTACCTTGCACTGTCTTTTTGACCACACACACATCACATCTCGATTTCCGTGTTCACTCACGGCCTTCGGAATATCTTTCACATCATAATTCGGCCAGTATTCGCAACGCGAACTTCACACGCTTCTCACTTTGCAGCGCTAAATTTAAATTTTGCAATCGGCAATCTAACCTTTTGTTAAGTAATTAATATTTTTTGATATATTTTAAATGATAATTAATACAAAATCTATAAAGAAAATAGTTACAATAATTTAAAATTAATTAAATTCTAAAATATTTCCATAATTCTTGTTTATTTTTGCAATTGATAATATTTCAGCGCACCTACGTGTATTCAAGGTTGAACCATGTCCATAGATTCATAATGGGAGTTATTAGAGATGTATCACGCGGAATCATCGTTGGAATTAATACATCTTTATTTTCATGAATTTGAATATTATTAAACTGTGTCATTTGGTAATAATTAAAAACAATAATTTGCAAACTATTTTATACTAGGTTATTTATTTCAGAACATTGGCACTGTCCTTCATGTTAGATAAAAAGGTATAGTATACAAATGTAGCGCCACCTATCACTGTTCCGATCAGTTACAAGATTGCCGTTTCAAAGTGTCTTAGCTAGATGGCGCTAACATATTCACAGTGGACGGGCTGCGAAGTAAGATTTATGCTTCGATGCAATGTTAATTTGTTGGTATAATAATGAATTGTATTAGAAGTATTTATAATAAAGAAAGAGCATCAAATTATTATAATGTATTAAAAGCCCCTTCTCTATTGTATGACACTAGTAGTATGAGTTATATTTCACAGTTACGTACAACGTAACACAACCAAATGCAATAAATTATTTTTATTATTATAGGATAATAGTAATGCTAATTTGTCATGAATATGGAAGAGATATGAGGCGTTGAACTAGGATTATGTTTATGTACTCAATTCATTGTTAACAAACCTTGAACTATAATTCTCTTCTGCTACGACTTATTAATAATCGAATACGAATTAGGAATTTCAAACAGAGGTTAAATTAATATTTTGATGCAATTGTAATATCTATAGACTTTCTCTTCGTTTTTGAGAATGACAATATTTTTGTTAAAATAATTATATCTACTTTGGTCGTAATAGGCAACTGCTTCGCCTTCATGCAAATATTTCGTGCATCCTAGCTAAACAATATTAGTTTAGCCATTACGACGTGCACAAAATCAGATATATTGAGTATACCTTCTTCGAGTCAGGTAACTATATGTATATCTGTAGGTACATATCTGAAAAACTGATTTTTAATAAAATAAATGATTTCTAATGGAATAGTAAAGACGGTTACCTATTAATTTTATTAATAGAGCGATAGGAGAGTGCAATTGAATCACTTATTCAAGATAATTTCAGAGCCTAGATAGAATAGAACGACTCTACTGACTACTGACCTAATCATGGCCATGAACCGGTCATTGAACTTGGCAGTACGTAATCGAAGAATCTGCTATGTGTCTGTGCAGCTACATACGTTTCACTATTTTTTATAGAGAAATCGGTCCCTTTTAAGCATTAAAAGAATACTTCGTTTAACTTGTAAAGAAACTTGTTCATTTATTTTATAATATTAAAACAATATATAGGTACTAAATTATACTGTGAATTTCGTTGCATAATAGTTTCGATAACTGAAGCATTTAAATAATTAAAAAGCAGTGCACTAAATTAAAGAAACAAATAGGATTATATGTAGACATTATCTATTACTTACAATCTAACCTTTCATTATAAAAATAGCTTTATAACCTATTATTTTTAAAAATATTTTTTAATGCATAATAATGGCATTGTGCACTCACCTGTACTAACGTTATACCCGGTGGTGTAGGAAGATAGGATTTGCATAAATTCAGGCCGATCGCGAAGAAGTCGTTAGAAATACAATAAAAAAATATATATATCGATTTTCAGATAAAGTCAATGTATTTTAATTGTATGTAACAACTGTAACAAGTGTCTATTTTTCTATTTGTATTTTACCCTATTAGATCGACCTCAATGTGGTGCGCATTGGTCACTTGCAACCGTCGTTGTTATTTCGTGTTAATTTGAACTGTGTAGTCTTTTATACCTAATTTGGGGGGGTAAAACTCTGAACACTTAAATACATACCTAAGAAATCACTGTCTGGGAACAGTTTTGAAGCCAAAACAGGAGCTTAAAGTAAATACACAAATACGTACGTACGTATAAATACGTATCATGAAAATGACGTCAGAAAAAATAATCAAAAAATACTTTTTTCTATCCACAGTTACGGTCAAACAAATCAAATAGCTAAGTATTACAACGTACTCGTAATATGATACCCAAAGAATCTGCATAAAGGAACTCAGTAGAGCTAATATCTAGTGCAATAGTCAATGTGGAATGCTTACAGTGAGTATCAAAATACAAGACAATAATACTAGTCTATAGCCTGTAATTCGACGTGATTTTAGTCTGGGAATCTCGTCCAACGACATAGAACAATAGTGTACATGGTATATAGGTAGGTGCATATAATAGTGAAGGCTTTAAATGATACGAGAAATTTAGACTGTTTGTTATTACAGTATTTTATTGTGGGCTATGCTTTGATGCAGTATACCCTTTTATTAAGTATGCATGTAGGTACTTTTTTATTTTATGTATTTTATTTATTAACTCTTTATTTCACCAAATATGCAATACAATTATATATCTACGTAACAGAGTACGATACTTAAGGTACGGAACATAACCTTTCTGCTAATGGTATATGCTAGCAGGGCACCAGTGAAGTGTCAAATCAAATCAAATCAAATCAAATTTATGCGCACTAAACATAGGTTTACATTGGTTGTTATTGTAATATAATGTCCCATTATGTTGAGATGATGATGATGTCTGAGAATGAGCTTGAAGCCAGGTCTCTTAGTCCATCGTGCAATGAAAACCATTTTTTTAATATTATTAGGGCCGATTATAGTGTATTAATTTATTGAGAAATGAATTAAAACATCTGCAATTCTATTAAATGAAATAATCTAAGAGGTATCCAACAACCGACTGTTATGGATCCCTCAGTCCATTACGGGGATGATGAGAGTGGCCGGTCGTGTCACACGGTAATGTAATGCAGTGCAAATGAGTCAATCTCCACGGGCCGGATGGTCACACAGTGCTATTAGGAAATCGATTTGTATCTAGAACCTATCTCCACGAATGGTGATTGCTATGGAAGTGTTCTTAGTCGATTTGATTTATATTGATTTATAGTTCTTATATTTAAATTTGTAGGAGGAAAGTTATTATTATTTTATACAGGAAGTTTTGCTATATATGTATTATTGTTCAGAAATATCCCATCTATTCACTTTATACAGTTTATATTATTGTACTTTCTTTCACGATTGTCGTCTGTAAAGTTTACCTACTGATGGGGTTATAATTGGTCTATACGGATGTTCTCAGAAATCTAAATTAATTAAAGGTATTTTTTTTTGTAGTAACGATACTTAGAAACACAGGGCAGTCCAGGATGGCGAGTAAACTCACCGCCATAAATTATAATATTGTAAGTATTCGAAAGATACTAATAATTTTGTATTTCTAAACCGAATGTACAATTAGTCAATATTATAAGTTAACCTATTCCAGGTTATATTTCAACAAACAAGTCTTATTTTGTTAATACGATTTATCAATTAGGGGCCTAAGCTCTTTATTAAAAAAAAATAACGAGAGCATGAAAATACCAGGAAAATTGTATTTCATATTAGTGAGAAAATAATTGTTAAGAATAACGCTTTTTAAACAAGCTTAAGCAGAACATTCACGGAATGTAATAAGACATATAGGGCGGGAAAACTGCCCTACACATATTGATACATTCTGTCGGATTCTTATAGGAAAACAGTCATAAATACTGCAAATACACAATAAATATTATAAACAATTACATTTTTTCCTGTATACAGTCTACTTGAACGTCTACTTACCTATTCATGGACCTATTAGTGCTACTACAATATCTGTGTTATTTTGTATTATAATAGTGAACTAGAATTTTTTTACAATACGACGATTTTTATAACAGATAGTTATGTAGGTAATATTGTATAAACCAATTTTTTTCATGAAGTCTTTTAGCCATAAGAATATTTAGACAGTACAATTTTATAATAATAATAACCTGCTTATACTTTATAATATAATAGTTTATAATCAAAAATGAGTGTTGTCAACAACACCTGCAATCTAATAATGACGTGAGAGGAAAGTCGACCACGGGTGCACTTAGTTTTCCAATCTAAACAATAGAAATTCAACGGGTGCGCGCCCCGTCGGGACACTGATCTATCTCTATGTAAATTATGCGGCAAATAACACCGACTTGCGTTCATCAGGTCAGGCACAAATAGTGTTGCCATGTTTATAGAACAAAATTTGGGAAATCACATTTAAAATTACCAATAAATTATTTAAACTATAGGTTTTGTGTTTTTAATTTGTGTAGTTAATTCAGAATATACTTTACTCATAAAGCCGTGTCTACATGAAAGTTTAGTTATTTACCACATTTCTAAGAGGATAAATCTTTTTGTTCCGAAGGGATTCAAATTGACTCGATGAAATTCTATGGCACTAGTATTAGACATCCCCCAATGGGAATGTAAGCGACATTAATAACGATCCATCCATCCAAATTAGCCCATTAACGTCTCATTGCAGGACACAGGATTCTCCTAATAGGAGGAGAATATTAATATTGAACGGCAGAACTGAACGGTATTAACAATATTTTTTTATAAAATAAATTGTTTACTGTTTAATTTCAATTGTATATATACCGAATTAATTTAATCGAAATATACTTAATAGAATACATATATTAAAAACGTTACGCAAACTGAAGTATGTCATAAAATAGACTACAAATTATTTTCTTAAATTATATTTGCATCCAATGGTGTGAAATGTAAGCCTTCTGAATTTAAGCATTTGTGCCACTTCTTGGGTGCTTATTGGGTGCATAGACAAATATTTCGGTTTT